GACCTGAAACACACCCATTCTTAGAAAAGACTCCTGTTCAGTGCAGGCACTTTTGTTTCAAATTCACAGTCAAATTTCCTCAACTTGAGGAAGCACCCGTGTACCTCTGGAGGGGCGCTAGAACCACATCTGCGTTTTTCTGCTCGCTCTCAGAGCTGTACAGGCCGTGCTCTTTGATGTAGTGAATGACGCTGTCTGGCAGAAGGTATCTGACGCTCTGGCCGCGCCGCAGCGACCGCCGCACGTGAGTGGCTGAGATGTCGTTAGTCACCCATTCGCGGACGATATGGATGTTCTTGCGATACTTCCACAGCAAGTCTGACTGGTGGATGAACTTATGTGGATCGCTGTTGCTGCGGCTGATGCAAACCAAACCGTGGCGGCCCACGATCTCTGCGATATCCTCCTGCTTCCACATGTTGGGAATCCCAAAAGACTCGAGGACGTCAGCCCCGCACAGCAACATCAGCTGAAGGTCATCTGAGCACAGAGAAACAAGTCTGTCAGCACAACACAAGAGTCAACTAATCCACACTGTGCATATGCTTCAGGTCCAAACTTTAAGAAGACCCCAATTCTTCCAGTTTTTTTATTGAAATTCAAGCAGTTTAATGTCTCGTTGAGATTAAAGCACAGAACAACCATGGAATCCATTTATAAATCAAAATGTAATCTAAACTTTTCATCAAAGTAGTCACCTTTGGCAGAGCTAAAAACACTCATGGCATTATCTCTACAATGCCATCTATCCATCCATCCAGCCGCATGAAAGTGAAGCTCTCGGTTTACCAGTCACTCGACGTCCCAGTCCTCTACTATGGTCGCGAGCTCTGGGTAGTGACTGAAAGAATGAGATCACGGATACACGCGGCGAAAATGAGCTCAGCCACCTGAGAATGGCTCAGAGTAGAGTCACTACTCCTCCACATCGAAAGAAGTCAGTTAAGGTGGTTCAAGCATCTGGCAAGGATGCCTACTGGCCAACTCCAGAATGAGGCCCAGGGGCAGAGACAGGACCTGCTGGAGACATTAGATCTCTCGGTTGGCCTGGAAATGCCTCTGTGTTCCTCGGGATAAGCTGGAGGAGGTGGCTGGAGAGAGGGAGGTCTGGGCATCCTTGCTTAGGCTACTGTGCCCACGACCGTGCCATGGATAAGGAGAAGAAAATGGATGGATGGAAGTTTTTCCCAGCTGTGTTGCAGAAGTTCCCATAAATGCATGGCACTTTTAGGATGGAGAGTGTGCTGGCCATTCCATTCTTGTTCCTTTTTCCTACTGTAGTTCTGGCACAGCTTGGACTTATGTTTTGGGTTTTTATCTTGGTGTAAGATGAACCCCTGACCAACTAGGTGCATACCAGAGGGTGCTGCATGGCGATGCAGAACCATTTTGGTTCAAGGTGCCTCTAAATCTGTACATGTCACCAACATCCCGAGACCATCACGCTTCCTCCTCATATTTAAAAGTTGATGTCACACTCAACATGTTTTTTCTTGTTTAATGGTGTACAAAAGTAGGTTGGCAGGATCAACTGTCAAAGCTCGATCAACCTCCTTTGCTGCAGAACAGGTTTAAGTTCTTAATCCATTTCCCGTTCTCTAAAAAAGGCCGTTGTATATTTCTGAAATATGTATTTTTTTAGTTTTAGGTAACATTACACTATTTTAAGCTATTCATTGGACTTGAGCTGCTTGAATTTCAATTTAAAGAATGGAAGAATTGGGCTCTTCTTAAAGTTTGGACCATTAGTGTATTCACTATCTGTCATGGGGCAGAACAGTGCATATGTGACTGTCGCAGGAACTGCC